TTCCTCAACAAAAAAGGAGGTTGTGAATGTGGTAGGCACGCCAAGGGCCTGGGGTGATGGGAACAGGAGGGACATAGCAATCAACAAAACAGCTAAAGTGGAGTCACTTCAAGCATAAGCATGTAAAGAATGAAGTGCCTACAGAAGAGCCTTAAGGGAAAACCTCTCAACCCTGTACAGGGGAATCAGCACACTTGGGTGCCTCTCTGAAATGCCACTACACTAATGCAGGCAGCATGGGCAACGAAGAGGAGCAGTTAGAAGTTTGTGTGTGGTTATATCTCATTGGGATCATGGAGATATGGTGGGATAGGTCACGTGACTGGAGTGCTGCAGTGGAGGGATACAGGCTTTTCAGGAAGGACAGGCTGGGAAGGCAAGGAGAGGGAGTTGCCCTTTGTGTGAGAGAGCAGCTGGAATGCACAGGGGTCTGCCTTGGCACAGGTTGGGAGCCAGTCGAGAGCTTATGGGTCAAGATCAGTGGGCAGACCAACACAGGTGCTGTTGTAGTGGATATCTGCTATAGACTTCTTGATTAGGAAGTAGATGAGGCCTTCTTCAAACAACTGGAAGAAGCCTGGTCCTTATGGGGGACCACCTGATATCTGCTGGAAGAACAATACATTAGGGCTCAAGTGATCTAGGGGTTTTCTAGAGTACATTGATGACAACTTGCTGGCACAAGTGATTAAGGAGCCAACAAGGAATGATGCTCTGCTGGACCTGATACTGAGAAACAAGGAAGAACTGGTCATGGATGTGGAAGTCAGAAGCAGCCTTGGCTGCAGTGATCATGAGATGATGGAACTCAGGATCCTAAAAGGAAGGAGCAGGGCAAAAAGCAGGACTACAGCCCTGGATTTCAGGAGATCTTTAGAGATCTGCTTGGAAGAATCCCATGGGTTATGGCCCTGGAGAGAAGAGAAGTCCATGAGAGCTCATTGATATTCAAGAATCAACTCCTCCAAACTCAAGAATGGTCCATTCTGACAAGTAGGAAATCCAGCAAATGTGGCAGGAGGCCTGCATGGATGAGCAAGGAGTTTCTAACTGAACTCAGACATAAAAAGGAGGCGTATAAGATGTGGAAGCAGGGGAGGTGACCCAGGAGTATAGAGTTGCTGTTTGATCTTGCAGAGATAGGGTTAGGAAAGTCAAGGTCAACCTTGTATTGAATCTGGCATGGGATGTGAAGGGCAGCAGGAAAAGAGTCTACAGGTATAAGACAAAAAGACTAGGAAAAACATGGACCTGCTGCTGAATAGTGGAAACGCTGACAGAGGACACGGAAAAGGCCGAGGTACTCAGTGCCTTCTGTACCTCAGTCTTTACTGGTAAGACTGCACTTCAGGA